ATCTTTCATAGAAATGCCCATCCACCTTACTCATATACTGTATACTTAGTATTAGAGTCAAAATACATTTATCAGCAGAAGGGCTGAAGTATTCTTTTACATTACTGTGATCTTTTAAGAGGTACTGATTTATTTAATGCTGTGACAATGTGTGGAATAATTATAATGAGTTACTGAAAATGTTACTACCAGAAAGAACATTGTGGTCTTTTAAAAGTAGAAACCATTGAGACCTTTTTTCCTCTGTGGCCAGAAGTCATGGTTCAATAGAAAAAAAAAGGACAAGCTATCCTTGAACTTTATATCAACATTATGAGCTTGTGTAGCTCCACAGTTAATCTTAACTTTTCTGGGGAAAAGAAACAAATAAAAAATCCATAACCTTGAAGATTTGTGTTGTGATGCCTTAAGAGGATGGTCATCAATTTCCGCGAGGTCAAGAGTTCAGTTCAACACTTAACCTAAAATTTTGATTCACTTTAAGAAGAATTTGCTGGAAAAGTGCAAGAATCAATGAAATGAAGAAGGTAATTTTCTCTACAAAATGCAGCAAAATTTTAAATTTAATAGGACAGTTGCTAACATTTTAACAAATGCCTGTTAGTGAAACAATTGAAAGCTAAAAGATATGAAAATTAGATATTCAAAACTACAGGCAAGAAGAAACACGCCACTCAAATTCCACAGAGGAAATAGTAGAAGATTCTGAATCACTGCTGGTGAACTATTGATATTCCTGTAACGGAGTGAAAATATTGATGGGCAGAAACCCTAGGGTTGAATTCAAATGGCATTTTCCTGAATTTAGAGGCTGTTCAATGTAGACTGTGTAATCTGCTGGCTGTCAGGCCTAGTCATGTCATACACACAAATGAAATAGAGCCATCAAATTGCTTTTTATAGGGCTGCAAACAGCACCCAGTACTAATTAATGCCAGAGAGACCAAGAATTTACCCGCCTTCGAAATAAAAGGTTTACCCTCATCATGACACAAGCTACTGGAATGCTGGAACAGAAATGAACTGTTTGCAGCAAGCATTAAGTTAAAACAGTTCATTCAGATAGCACGTATCCTCACAATTACCTGCTAAGACAAACTCACATTATTAAGTTTTTTACTGCCTTTTATAGTAGTTGAGCTTTTTTTACACCTTCTTTTTTTTTGAGAGATTACCTCAATTTGAATTTCATCACATGAAAAATATATTTATAAAGATGAACAAGAGAAGATACAAATATTAAATTGTTGCTACATTTGCACATTGTCCTTTTTATAAATCTTTCTTACCATTGTTTAGTAATTCTCTGCAGCTATTCATAAAACTTGTTCTGCTGCCATTATCTGAACAGAACTTTTAGAACAATTTAAAATTATGGATGTATATAATTCCCTGACCTGCTGAAATTATACCTAGGAGTTCTTTAAGTTTTTGAGGGTGTGGACAACTTTTTGATTATGAAATGGTTTTTAGAAAGATCTGCATGTTATGCCTGAAGATTTAGCCAGACACCCATAAATTTTTTGGGAAAGTTTCAGGAAGTTTCTAATGACTGATAATCAAATTCTAACTGTATTTTTATTCAAGCTTCTGATGATTAGGTGCAATGCCCTTTTCAAAGACCAACTTAAGTATTTGCACCCTTGTGCTCAGCTGTGATTTAATATAAAGCTGTGTCTTGTTGTGAACTCTGGAATCAGCAGGCATGATTCTGTCAGGAGTTTTCATTGTGAGATTTTCAGTTTAAATGTTAATTCCTGTAGGTATTCCTTTCAGTGTAACAAGTCCCATGCTGATTCCCATTAATCCATAGCTTGCAGAAGAATAACAAAGTTGAAAGGCACTTTCAAAATCTTTTAATATATCAGGTATTCTATCTAATAGATTACTGAGTACCACCTGAGTGAAAATCTATCAACATTTTGGCACAGTTGAGGTTGCTTCAGTTTTGAAGTTACACATTTGAAAGATATGTCATCTTGTAGCATGTTTATTTCCTCAACATAAGTACATCCTGGACTAAATAAAACCAGCATGGGAAAAAGAGTTTGTAAGTGAATGTGCATTATTTTTCATGTGGCTTCAAACAACATTATTCTAGGAAATGAAACAGTGTACATGGAATAACTAAAGGATGAAGAGATAATCAGTTGGACTGAGCTCGTAACTACAAGCAATGCAACTGCCACCTGAACAGAAGTCCATAAATATACACGCACAGTCATGCTGTGCTGAGCCACATTCCCAGTCCTTCTCCCCACATACTGAGAAGACAAGCAAATAAGAGAGCAGAAACTGGCAGAGCAATTTTTTTCCCCTTTGTTGTGCCTCTGAAAACCATATCACATGAAATTCTTTTATACTTAAAGCTAAATAAAAACCAGAGGCATTAAGGTGTCTTCACTGGACTGAGCAATCAGTAAACAGAATAGAAGAGGAACACACCCACGGATAACTAGAGAGTTCTAATTCAGAGTTATTCTCAATATTAATGACATTTTTGCTCCACCTACTGGTAGGAAGGTTTGTAGTTTCCTGAATTGCCGTCATGGGCTTGTTACTCTTTCTGCAGCCAGTTCTCTTGTCCCGTTACAAGATTAAATTTCCTTATGTTGAAAGAGAGAGAAAAAAATCTTGGTACCTGTCTATAAAATATGGAAGTGAGAGAAAAATTACAGTTCTAAAGTGGAAAGAATCATCATGACTCATCATCATCAGAATTTAAAAACAGAAAACTGTTTCTTGTGGTGAGAGAGGATAATGCTGATAGTTTTGGTGGAAAAACATATGAAACATACAAGCAAAAGAAATCCCAAACACCTATAAAATGCTCTACAGCTTTACCTTTTAGGATTTTATTGATAATTTTCTAAGCACAAAACAGTCTGATATCAATGACCATATCCCATTCCTGATGGCTCATTTTGCCATGTTTCTTAGTGGGATGTGTCAAGAAAAATGGGGCTTGTGAATTTATTTGCAAAGCTATGTGATTGGTTATGTTTGGTTTTAACCTTGTAGGTTCTCAAAGGTTTACTCCATAGTTTCTGAAGTTGTCAGCTCACAGTCTCTGATTTCTTAGAATGACAACCAAACACCAGTTTTCTAGATGCATTCTTTCACTCTTGCTCATTGGACTGAAATCAATGAATAAGGTTCTTTCATAATTACTGATTCGAAAGCTGTAGCTTTCTCTTCTGGTTACAGGCTAAGGTCTTCATCAGAATGCTGTGCAGTAATATCAGGATAAATCCATTACAGTGTTTTGTAGATCAGTTAATATCCCTGTATTTATTGGATAACATTCTTTTAAATTTGAAAAAAAAAAGTCAGTTTTCTTGTAGGAGAGGTTTCATTGGCATTTTCACAGATACTTACAATTGAGATAGATAAAATGCTTTCCCTCTATGAACACACACAGTCACAGAGCATGTATGGTCAGTATAGATGTCCAAAGTTCATTTAGATGAATATTGTTGATGAAGACTGGTCTACTAAAACAGGCTGCTCAGAGCTATGTCCAGTTGGGCTTTGAATATGATCAGAGTTGTGGATTCTATAACATCTCTGGTAAACCTGTCCCTGTGCTACTGGGGAAGGCACAGGTATGGCCATTTTCCCCTGCTGCAGTGTACAGCATTTTTTTTACATCTTATGCTATCTGGACTGGCTCCAGGTCTACTGCATGAACTATTTCCTAATTTGCTCAAAGACTTGTTGTTGCTCATGGCCCCAGGTGAAATTGTTCTTCTTCGATATCACTTGATACAATCAGACTGCAATCTGGAATATGCATTCTACTAAAATCTATAACATCTAAGAAAGCTTATGTTTCCCTTTGTGGAGACATAGAAGTTATTTTGTTGATCACATCCATAGGTAAATAATGATATACATCTTGGCATTTTTATTCCTCAAAACTGAATCTCCTTTAAGGGTTCCTTGAACTTGCTTTGCTTTCTGGTAACACTGACTTTCAGAAAGATTTGGATAATTTTCTTTCTTTTTTAAAAAACCTCCTGTGCTGTGCTGTGCTGCTCCTCTGCCCCACATGATGATGTCACCAACGTATTGCAGGTGTTCAGGAGCTTCCCTTTTTCCAGTGCAGTATGGATCAGCCTATTGCAAATGGTAGGATTGTGTTCCCACCACTGGGGCTGTCAATTCCAGGTGTATTGGATGCCCCTCAATGAAAGTGAATTGTGGCCTGCACTATACCACCAAAAGAAATTGTGATATAACACTTGGCTGCCTTTGACTCCCAGTTCATATTGAAATTCTAACATGTCCAGCATGACAGCATTCAGCAGTGCTGTGACAGTAGTCCACAGTGAAACTCCACTCTCCATTGCATTGTCCATACAGAACTGCTAAGGGGTGAGCAAGTCTTGTTGATTATTTCTTGGCTCTCTCAATAATGAGTAAGTTTGTGGATGGACATCAGGAAGTCTTGGTTGGTGTGATAATGTCACTGTTGTATAGTGATTGATATCTGCAGTTCTCTTAACAAATCCAAAACAGAAGAATCCAGGCAAGGTAGACAGCTGCTTAATGTCTCCACCTCCAAGACAGCTATATCAAAAGCCCACCAGTACTCTTTAGGTCCTTGAAGTAATCCTTCCTGAGATTACCTATGTCAAGAATGCATGGAGCCTCTGCGCTATCACAGTGGGATGCTTTTGCCATCCTTCCCAGCTAGGTTCTCTTCAGCCTCCTAAGGAATGAACTCTTGGGATCTTCTTGTTGCTCCAGAAATACACATGAAGCCTGCCTCTCAATAACATGATGACATCAGTACTCCCATCAAGTTAGTACCTTGTGCACTGATGTTCACTAGAACCTTGTACGTCTGTGGGTCTCATATGAGAGGCCATTGAATAAACGCACTTCAAGAAACCCAATTGTCCTGGCTGGAGCCAGGACCACTCTAGAACTGATTACTGTATTTGTTAAGCACTTCTTCTGAATAAAAGTCATCATCAAATTCAGAAATAAGATAAAAAAATATGGAGTTACTTATGAATTTTTTTGTCATTCTTGCACAGGGACCATGGTAATCTTCTGTGCATCATTCCAATTTTAGTATACATTTTAGTTGCTAAAGTGAGCATAGTGTTTGGTCACTCTCACTATAAGTAATTATTTTGTACACATGAATTTGAGCCCACAAGAAATTGTCATATAGTCATATGTATACCATAGGAAGGTATACAGTGAAGTGCTTTTGTATCCTCTTCAAGACTGGATTATTGTGAGTATAACCATAAGAAGAATTAGCCTACCTAGAATATAACAGGATATTGAATTCATATAATTGATCAGATGGTATCAGAAAACCCATATCATGCTTTTGTCCCTCTCTTATTCACTGAAGATACAAGCCTATATACAGCTACCTGTCTCTGATTTTGTAGGCTGCCTTGTATGGCCACAGTTTCAAAAGTTTAAAAGAATTCTTGAACTATTCAGAGGCTAAACAAAGAATCACTCAACCTATTGGTCTCTAGATAAAATAGAAAGCATAAGTGCTTTCAGCTATTTTTAACAGGAATACTTACCAGTTCTTAAACAAGACTAAATCTCTGGAAGTTACTTACTGCAGCCTGAAATTGTGCAAATTCCAGAAAACTCATGGGTTCAGATGCTGATGGAAAAATTAATATCAAATTCTTTTTGGTCTTCAAAAACTAAAGCCTAACACTGACTATTATCAACTTTTTTTGTACACTGTATTTTAAGATACATGTTGTAAGTAGCAGGTCTTAAGTCCTTTCAGGAAGGATTATGGGCTAGAATGAGTAATGATATAAATGACAACTCTGAGGAAATCAGAGAATTTGGAGGAGTGTTAATCAGAGAATTCTCATCTATCAACTGATTGTTCTATTGGATGTCTATGTTACATCTGAGTTTATCCTGGCTGCTGCTGAAGTATCAGCCACTCTGTGACAAGTCTAGAGCAGATAATACACATAGTGCACATACACACACAATATGCACACCATACACAAAAGCATATTCTACATTTTAAACGTTTAATTTTCTAACCCCAGTTATGTAGTAGAAAGTAATTGTTGAGTTGCTAAAGCAGAATATGATGAATGATAAAAGGAAAAGAGGCACTTTCATTTTCAAAAGAGGAGAGATACTTGATGCTAAAGTAGTAGCATGGATTGGATTCCACTGGGAGATACAATGCTGCAGAAACTCCCTCCATGTTTTTTTTCCTTGGTCTCATTCTTGTAGAGGTTATGGTTCTCTTCTTTGTCTTATTGGTTAAGTCTCTAATTCTTCTAAGCAGGTGCGGATCTCAAAGTGTAACTATATTTTACATCCAGTTCTGTTGAACACTTTATGTGCTGGTGCTGGGCTTATTATCAGAATGCCCATAATCCATACTTAGTACAAGAAAGAAAAAAGATATTTTAATAGGATTAAAGAGTTATGCTGAGGATGCACACTGTACTAATGGTAGGGCTGCTCCTGTTTCTGATTGTGTCCTTCGTGTTTTCATTGTTAATTCATGTGGCCTATGTGTTGTTTGTTTTCCTATTGTTCTAAAACTTGTAATTCCAGCTCTTAAGATTACAATTCTTTAATAATATGTAAAACTGTTCTTTTGTTTGTTATTGATAATGATATATCTTTGATGTCTCTGTTATTATCTGTGCTGCTGTTCTCAAACCCTTTTGATCATCTGTGCTTATACTCTTGGAGACCACTGCACACACTGTGACAGTGGATAGTCTACCTACCAGCATTTAGTAAATCAAGGACATGTAAGAAACAGGCAGTTGTCCAAATTTTTTTTCCAGTGAGAACATCTGTTATGATGAAAACCCTGGAGGTTTTCAAGAAACATGTAGATGTGGCATTGAGGAATATGGCTTAGTGGACATGGTGGTGAAGTGTTGGTTGTGGGACTAGATGCTCTTAGCAGTCTTTTCTAAGGGTTCTAAGATTCTAAGATTCTAAGATTCTATGGTCTTTAACCACACACATTGAAATGCATTCATAAAAATATTAACCTGCACAGAATGCTAGGATATTATTATTAAATTATTATTAAACCAAGACACTTTAATTTGGCAAGAACTTAGCTGGTGTTATCAGAGCTCAGGAGATTCTATTAAACTGAATAAGAGTACAGTAAATCAATTTCTATTCTCTTGACTGTTGTGACAATATCGTTATACCTGTTTCATTAAGGTGATGAAATTTTCTTATCATAGAGATCTATATCGGTATGAAAATATACTTCAGTGAGAAGACTTCAGTAGTCTTAAAACTATGTTTTTTTTTTCTTTTGAGTAGAGGATCACTTGGACAATCAAATGCCCTTTCTATTTTAAAATGAGATTTAGGCATCTAAAATAAAAAAAGCACATCAAAATTTTAAACTTTTGTAGTATGGAGTGATATGGAGTGCATGTGTAGATTTAGAGATCATGTGCAGATCCAGAAAGGGAGTAAAAATACAATATATTTAATGTTGAGAGTTGTACAGTCAATATGAAATTCTTTAACCCTTTAGCCCTTGTCATGTAGTTTCATTACATGCTCCAATAAAATGCTATCCAAAACAAAAATTGTGCTTTTTAAAACCTGTACTTATTGAAATTAATTCCTATTAATTATATATAATTAATTATATCATAAACTTAAACCTCATGACTGACAAATGTCATGGTTAAGAATATTTTGATTAAATAGATTTCCTTCTGTTAATTGCCAGGCTCTATAATAATTTGAAAAAAATATTGAAAAATGTCCTGCTAATGGCTGTTTTCTCTGATTCTTAGCATATTCTGTCTGGCTTATTCTTATCTGGAAAAAACAAACAAACAAACAAACAAAAAAAAAAAACAACACCAAAACCACCTTATTATTGTCGTTTTTTTCACTTTGGAAGAAACTAGAAATACAGCTTTACAGATTTAGCATTGATTCAAATTCATAAGAAGCTGATTTTCTATTTCCTGTTTCCTTGTTGAAGTACTGCTCAACAATACTTCCAAGCTGTGTGTTCCAAGCTAAACAGTCTGTGTGTAATAGTGTTGTTAGTGTTCTCTTAACGTTCTTAGCTTGGTGTTCCAAGCTAAACAGTCTGTGTGTAATGAATTGTTTTAGTCTAGATTTACTTAATCACCTTAATCTGCCATAAAATCACACTGAAGTTAAAGAAACTTTATAGTATACAAGAGTAGTTTTTGTGTTTAAGACTGGTACGAAGAAGTACTGCAACTTATTCACATTGTATACTCTTGATCAAGAAATTTATCTCTCTTGGGGGGGAGTAAGAAGGGTTCAAACCTCATGAAGGAGCATATGTTAATCTTCTCCAGTCATAAACTGTATTATATTTTGATTGGCATATACCTCAGAGCTTACTACTTTTTTTCATCAGACATTATTAAAAACCAATTAATTTTCAGTATAATCAGGTATTTAACTTATCAACTATGCAGTGAAAAATGTTGAGGGTGATAGCATTGACAAATAAGCTTACCAAATAATCAGCTAATTAATTTGAAAGTCTGTCATGTTTTATAAAGATTCTGCATAATATAAACTATTTGAGACCAAGTCACAAATACACTTGTGGAAATGCCTTTGGGAAGAGTTACCTTGAAATATGCTCAAAAGGCATCTGAAAGATATTAGGATGCTCTAGTACAAAATGTTTTGGTCTCTCATTTATTATATAACCTTCCTCAGAGGTTAATAGAAAAATCTAGGAAGAGAAAATGATTTAAATAAGTTTCATTAATAAACAAACTTATGTCAGAAGAACTGTCATTCCAGTAGAGACCTGCACCTGTAACTGCAGGGTGTTTAATCTCCTGATAATCCTAGAGTAGATTAACACTTCTCCCTATTTATTTAGAAATATGGTAGTTTTTTCCTGTTGCTTCCCAAGCGGACAATTATTAGGCATAGCTGTTTGTGTAGTAGCAAGAGCTGCAGGGTGCCTGTGTGGGAAGAAGCCAGGAACTGCCCTTTGGCCATCACAGCCAGGTTCAGCCGAGTTGGAAACTGGTGGAAACAGACCACTGCACACCACACACGGATGGTTTCATTGCAGAAACCAAAGGAGGGAGTGCAGAAGATGTAAGGAAGGAGACATTGCTGGGAATGCAGCTGGAGACGCACACTTGGAAGGTGATATAAAGGAGCTCTGGGAGACTATGAAGCAGTGACAGCTCTGTGGGTATGTAGGCTATAGCAGAGGTGGCTACAGAAAACTGGAGGAGTAGAGACTAGGAAAGGAGTGATATAGGTGTTGACTTGAAGATGTTCCTGAGATTGAGGGAGGAAAGGTGACAGTTTAATTATATGTCTATTTTTCCTCAGTACACCACACAGTAACTAAAAGTTTATGTTAACTGACAATAAAATAATTCAGTAAAATGACCCAAGTCAAGTCTGTTTCATCCGTGACAGTATTGAAAATGGAAATAACTTTGAATCGCTTTTTTAATTAAATTTCTCTTTTTTTTGCATGTAGACTAAATAGTATTAAATTTGCAAAATTTAATTTTTAATTTGTATTCTCTGAACAGTTTGTAATCTCATTTTTAATGACTGTCTAAGAATTTGTGTTAGATGTATGTATACAAGTATTTGTGGTTAGTGGAGGACTTGAACTCCACTCCAGTGCCTTGCTGAACTGGAATGCCTTACGTCGTCTAGAGACCAGAGCTATAGCCTGGATGCCTTCACTGCTTAAGAAGTTCCTGGCTAACACAAAGCTGAGGCAGACAAATGCAAGTCAGGCAAATGAAGCAGGAAATATTATCCTGAATTATCCATCTACTCTGTCTTTAGGTTCCTCTTTAACAGGTGAAAGGATAACTAATCTGCTTTTTAATCGCTGCTTTTAATTTCACGTTATGTCTCTGACTATTAAAAGAAACCGTAAAGTATTTTTAGAATACTTTATTAGATACAGGGAGTAGTGGAAATTAAGCTGGATGCTGAATTTATCAGCCTGTGTGTAAGTCCGTGGCTCATCAATTGCTGCTATAAAGGCAACAGTTTCTTGGAGAAGGAATGGTGGTTTGAAGGTTAGCTGGGAGTGATAGCAGCTTTTCTTGTTACTTAA